ATCCACTCTCGGTAGGTAGCGTCCTCCGCGCCCGCATGCGTGCGTCTCTGTGTTTTGAGTTTTGACGCAGTGTTTGCAAAGCCTCAGCTGGACACCAGCGCTCTGTTTTCTAGGAATCTGCCTCCTCTGTTTGCACAGCATCGTCTTTGCACTAATGATGAAGGATGCTGTATGCCTTTTTTCCCCCCTTCTCCATCTGTCACCATTCTCATCAGCACACTGCCTTGATGAGCCTCTTTGGGCTGCTGTCAGACAGAGGAGTTTCCCATTATGCGTGCACAGTGGCACACTTTGTCCCTGTGCGTGGAGGAGAGTGGATTATCCAGAGGAGTATGTTACAGTGTAATGCAAAGACACAAGGCTGGGAGCAGTAAGCAGCTTAGTAAGAGACACTGATACGGTGTTCAGAGGGAGAAGTCACACCTGGCGAAACAGCCTGAGATCTAGTTTTTCCTGCACAACAAAGACACTTTGATTCAGAGTTGTTTTCTCGATGCCACAGTTCAGCCTGAGCGGCTCCCGCGATGATCCGCTGTTTGATCGAGCTCCAGTTTAAAATTAGCAGATTGTGCAGAGGCTGAGGAGGGAGTGCTGTGTTTCTAATTCTTCTTCTTCTTCTCCTCATCTGCTGTTACAGAGGCGGTGCGTTCTCCTGTGTTTCGTCACGGCACGGATAAGAACGGCTTCAGTCTGGGCTTCAGCAAGAACTTCCGCCAGGTGTTTGGCGATGAAGTCAAATACTGGCCAATCCCCGTCTTCTCCAGGTGAGCTCATCAAAAGCAGCTTGAAAACCACTTCTCAAATACCAGACAAAGCATTTGAACCAGTCATAAATGATTAAAACCAGCCTACAGAGGGTTATTTTACAGTTTATAAACCCCGATGACCACTTAAATTTCAGTCTAGCCTGAAGAGCAATCAGGTCAGAGACTCGAGGAGCTGCTTCAGGATACAATAATGTGATCAGTAGAATTATAATCATCCCACACCTGCTGAGAAGCTAATATGTGACTGAAAAATGTCCAAGCATGATATCAGAGCATTCTTTTATGTTTTTTTCCCCCCTGGTATCTTAAGTAAAGTCATACAAACAGCCTATTCAGAATGTTATATTATTAGATCAAAACCAGCTCTGAATAATGCCGGCATAAACATTTACACTTCGGTGAGTCATGTGGGGAATTCACATTTATCTTCTTCATAATCATGTCCTTCAGGCAATGTTGTAAAAAAAAGAAGCAGTTTAGTGAATTATTTTAGCATATTTAAACACAACGTTGTCAAAGCAGCCGTGAATGAATGAAGTCAGCAGTGAGCTCAGGGATTGCTGAGCATCGCCACTTAGTTTGAAACAAAATGGTTCAAAAGAGACAGAAAGTCCCAGAAGAGACAGCAGCAGAGCATTAGATCTCAGGAAACAGCAACATCACCGCTGTGAGTTGATGCTGATGCTCCAGTTTTGCAGCTTAAATATTATTTTGTGACTATACAGCAATTTGGCAGTGACAGCTATATGAACTGCAAAGTAACAAGAATCTGACCTGCGATAAAAATGGAACATGGACTTCCTGGATGTCACGTTACAATTAACTACACGCCAAGCTATGCTGTTATTTAAATGTAAATATCTGATGTTTTAAAGAGAAAAGCTGTAACCGTGCTTATTTGTGCTGTAAAGTTGGATTTTTTTAACACTGTAGTCGATGGGGTTTGACGGAATGTTGGTGGCGGGCTCAAGTGGCCACTAGAGGAACTGCAGCTTTTAGCATTTCACAGCGGTTGGTATGAATAGCAGTTTTTGGTGGCTAGTGTTACCTAACAACACTGCATTGCATAACTAACTTTGCAGAGTCGTTTTCCTGCCTTGATTATCCATACATGCTTTAATGTTTAGCTTTTTTTAATCCTATAATTTCAAGGGACTCATATTCAGTAAAAACATACACAGGTTTGCTTTAACAGAATCTGCTTAAACTTAAATATGCATCCATAACATAGAACCCTTACAATCTGCAGTAACTGGATCATGACAACTGTGCTTCTTCTTGTCTGGTGGCCTTACAGTTTAGGCGATGGCTGTTCGTTCCCAACCTGCCTGGTGAATCTGGATCCGGAGCAGCCCTCCTCACCAACTGGCTCCAACCCAACCAACAAGAGGTGAGTAAAAAATAACACCATCCAATTAATATGTGAACTCGAGTACTTTACAGAAACAGAGTCTGCACAGCTGCATATTAGCCTATAGGGGTTTTATCAATTGTGCAGATTTAATTATGCAAGAAAATAGATCACCTGTTAGCAGCTCCATTATCAGTGATGGGTCTCCAGGTTTAGATTACAGGAACATTTTGCATTGATTTTCACCCCCGGTTCTGTTTGTGTAATCTTAGTGCAGCAGAAGGCCGTCAGTTCCCCTCCAAACCACTCAGAGAAAGCCAGAGTCGTCTGCTCACCAGCACCCCCTCCTGGTCAGAGAATGAAACTGCAACGGACAAGGACAGAAAGGGTAAGATGATGCTCCTTCTGTAGGGTTCTCCGCAGCTGCTTGATGATAAAACAGCAGCACTGTACCAAGGTCTTGAGCCACTCATTTTCAGAGGAATGTTTTTTTTTTAGTAGCTATTGATCAAAGGCTGAGGTATGCCAAATCACACGAACCAGACTGAAAATCAGGCCTCATGGGGTGATGAATGCAAATTTGAAAATTTTGGCTCAAAACATTGTTAGTATGTGCGAAGGAGGTCAGGAGTACGGTGGCCCTGAGAGGCCAAACACACTGCAACTTAAGAAAACACCAGCAATAAGAAACACGTTGCAAAGCACACAAAACAAAGGCGAAAAATGAAAACAGAAATAGGAAAAAACAGATTTCCAAAAGCAAGGGAAGTGTTTTTGGGGAGACAATAACTCGACGGACCAGTTACAGGAACCAAAATATGCTAAGAATTGCACTGGGAGACACTTAAAAGAAGTGGAGGATCTATCGGTTTTATGAGGAAAGAAAAGATGAGAGGTAAGTGTGTTAGCCTAACTATTAGCCTAAAAATTCGTCATCAGTATTATATGAATCATCAGATTAACACACACCTAGCATATTTTGGTTCCTGCAACTGGTCCGTCGAGTTATTGTCTCCCTAAAAACACTTCCCTTGCTTTTGGAAATCTGTTTTTTCCTATTTGTTTTCGTTTTTTCTATTTCTTTTTTCCTATTTCCATTGTGTTTTGTGTGCTTTTGCAGCGTTTTTCTTATTGCTGGTGTTTTCTTAAGTTGCAGTCTGTTTTTGTCCACTCAGGGCCACCGTACAGGAGAGACGGTTGCGTTGACAGCCATCAGTAAAACACGTTGGAGGCTCTGTAATGGTTTGGGCTGGATTCCCCTCGGTCGTGTTTGGGATGTTGTCATAATTTATGGAATTATTATTCTTTTTTGCATGGCAAAAATCCCAAACACGCAGTGCAGTGAAATATATATGTGTGTGTGGAGCACCATCAGTCATGGATTGCTGCACCTATTTCCCATTTTCCAGTTAAAATGTTAAAAACTGAGTGCGAGCTCAGGAGTTTTGCACAGTACTGCACTCCAAGATGTTGAGTAATGTTCCACCTGTGTGTTTGATTCAGGTGCCAGTAACCCAGGGATGACCATAGAGAACGAGGCGTAACCACGTTTGACACTACAAACCAGAAATGTATGTTTAAGCTCACGCACACCTTACCTGCAGAATGAGATTCAGGATTATATTTTTAAAATTCACGTTTGCTTGTTTTGTCTCACAGGTCTATGCTGCCCCCTCCTCTGTGTCCGTGCCTATCAGAACGTGACGTGGTGGTGACATCATATTTGTCGTTTTCCATTAGTGCACCATGCTTATGAGAGACTGACTTCGCTAACAAACCGGAGGAAAACATAATAATCGTCATTTACTTCTCTTATTGTTATTATCTGCTGCTGCCTGAAAGTTGGAACAAGTCGACCGTATTTGAAACTGCATTCCAATTATCCCGTTTTCTTTTTTCTATACAGACAAGCACAGAGCAGCAACAGAAGAGCGGACTTTTTGCACTTTGAACTATAAGTGAGCTGCTTTTGTACGCCCCAGTTCAAAAGTCTGCAAGTCTGTTCGTTTTCAGTTCTCACAGCGTAGCGCTCGAGTAGATGCAGTTTGCCAAATGTTTGCTCTGAGTATAGATTAGTAGTGATGTTAATGTGCTATATAACTGACATTCCTTCAGACATTTTTCTTTTTCTGTTTCTTTTTTTGTCGTTTGAGGGGCTGGGGGCAGGTTTCTCCACCCGCTGTGTTGAGTATTGTGCAAGTTGATGAAATGATGCATGCTCTCATCTCAGGATGTCAACGCAAACACACCTTGTGAAGTGAACGTGTCCCCCGCCCACCACAGAAAAAAGTAGTTAGTAGTAATTAAATTCCAATAAGGGCTCTGCTAGATCTTTATAGCATATATGAGGATGTTGCCGTCACACCTAAAAGCTGGTGGTGCTCTGTGCGTATGACAGCGCCCCTCCCCCAGTCCCCCCTCCTGCCAAATATGTCCTACAGTCTGACGTCAAACTGCTGGCCAAAAAGCTTCCCGACTGTTCTGTCTATGAAGGGCCCGCCAGCAAAAACAAGCCTTTGTGCGATGCTGCTGCAGATTCTGTTGAGTGTTTTAATATCTCACATGTTGTGGATGTACTGCAGAGCAAAAAAAAGACAAAAAAAAATTTGCTCCGGTCGCTTCTTGTGGTTCACTTTGACCTTCTGAGGCTGGAAACGATTAAAAGCGTCACTGAAAATTAAAGAATGTACGCTCTTCTCAAAACAAAAAGCTTCATAGTGACAGTCAGTGTTCGATCTCTATTTTTCTATTCTTCTGTGTATGACTTAAAGACTATATGGATGTGAGAGGCAATGTACTGTACAGTTGTGATGCCTTACAAGAATAAAATGAGCTCATCTTCGGTCTCACTCGATTCTTTAATGGAAGAACGCGAAGCCACTGAAAGATACGATGGTAGAAAAATTTCAAGCCTTTATTTACAAAATCATCTAAAAACATTCCTCTTTTTTATTGCATATTCTTCTTCGACTCGGTTACAGTGAGAGAAAGACGTACTGCAGAAAGAGGGAAGTGCTTCAGCTGTCGAGTTTCTGTCACCGGAGGTTAATAAGCCGTGAGCCTACGCTTTAACACGCACCTATGCAAGTTCAGGATACTATTCAACAACAGCGTTTATTCTTATTGTTTTTGTTTCTTTTGTACATGCGGCAGTTTTATGCGGCATGAATGAACTGGAAAAGCAACACTTGAAGGGAACCAAAAAGCACAAAAAGTCTAATTCAAAGGTCAGAACTACAAATGAACTCCCGCTTGTTAAAAAAGCACCGTCACTTCGAGTAAAACTTTCCTCTTCTTTTATTTCAACACTAAAACTATAAATTAAAACAAAAACTGACTCTCTGGTGGTTACTCAGTGGTTACCTCAGCACTTCCTACAGCTTTCATTCTGTTTTTCTTCCCAACACATTTTTGTTGGTTGGCTGAGGTGATGTGTATCCATGATGTTTACACGCACACCAGTGTGCATCCATTCTGACCAACTGATAATAAAGAAATGGCATCCACTTGCTTTATGGTCTGCACCGCTTTAAAAGGCTTATTACAGTGGACTTAGCTCTTACTCGGGTCGTTATAAACTTAACATTAACGGGACCGATTAGAAAAATCCTCAAGATTCAAGTGCATGTAAACACACCCCAACTATCAGAGAGGAAATCTGTGTGGACTTAGTGTTGAAATGGGGGCAACTAGTCCATGCCAATAAATTAAAAAGTTAAAAGATAAGAATGCAGTTATTATTAAGGCTGAGCGTGGTGAGAGTTGTGATCGTACAGCTTTACATGTTCACAATGTGAAATGGGAACATAGAGAAGGCAACAAAGAGGCCAGAGAGACACACAAACACACCGGAAACATTTTCAGCTTTCCTTATAAAATCAGGTTAGAGCTTTAAAGTGCAAAACATTTCTACAGAACACTTTAGGAAAACTAAAATCCCACCTTTTTAAGCATGTTAAATTGAACTGAACCGACCACACGCCGTCTACGCTGCCTCTTAGGAATAAAAGACTAAACTCAAACATGCAGTTGTTTGCATGTGTGAGGACAGCGGTGATTCTTTTTTTTTTTGGACCATCATATTCATTGGTCTAAAGTGAGCAGAGCCTATGAGAAACTTGAGAAACAGCTTGCTAAACGATGCACGTGTAGGTTATTTTCTTCTTCCATTATTATTGTCACTCGGGAGCTTGGCGTCAGAGCCGCACTGATTTTGGGTGTGAAGTGCAGGATGGGAAGAGTTTCGGAGCGATGTCACGACTGCTGCTTGTTAGCCTCTTCTTCATAGGCGTTTCCGGTTCCGTTCTGGACATAGGCGGAGCCTGAGCCGAGCCCGTACAAGTGACCACAGTACTTTGCATCGTCGATATGATCCTCAAAGAACATCTATGGGAAGGATTACAAAAAAACCCCACACAATAATACAATCGATTAGTGGTTAGGATAACACACAAAGTGTGAAAAAAAGATCACGCCAAAGTGTACCAAGTAAATAAAGGGCCAAAATGACCGATATCAGTTATTGGTATTGGTGATATTGATATCATAGTGGTATAACTTTCCAGAATAATTATTTAAGACAATAAAACAAACCTTCCAACACACATTACTGTTTGTAATGCTTTCATTCAAGGTCAACACTATGCTTACTCAAGCATTCAAGTCACATGACTTCAGAACAACTAAACACAGCAGAGCAGGGAGGAGGGGGCGGAGCCTGTGTGAAAGAAGCGCTGTTTGCACTGCCATGTCTACTTTCTGATGATTGGGAGTAACGCACTGAACCTAGAGAAGAAAAACAAAGTGAAGTATCAATTCTTTCATGCTGGTATCGATCCAATACAAGTACCAGCGTTAGTATCGATACTTGCGATATTTGAATCGATCTGCCCACCTCTATCAAAGTGCAATAAACCTGTGTTATTAGGTTTGGCCAGCACGGTGGGGACTTTTCTGGTTGCTATGGGAAAACCAGCCTACTGCTTACTTCAATCCAGAATTACATTCAAAGTCCGGCTCCTCACATACAAGGTCTTAAATAATCAGGCCCCATCTTATCTTAATGACCTTGTAGTACCATATCACCCTATTA